TCTGAATGAGGTTTTGAATGTGTCACTTCACTGACATTTCAACCTCTTCTTTCCAGGATTAAGATGAGCTCCTTCACACATGTTTTCATTTTCCTGGGGAGTTTTTCCCCTCTGCCTTTCAGCACCTACCACAAGATGACACCGAAACGCAGCAGAATTGTGGAACTATGTGATGATTTAAGTTTGGTTTCTTCTCCCCATTTCCAGATAATGCCTCACTTTCCTCACTCCAAAACTAAAAAAGCTACAGAAATGCTTGAAAAGCTAGCAGAATGCTGCGAATACCTACAAGCTCCTGTGACCAAGGAATCATGCCTTGCTTAAGGAGCTTTTCCAGCAGGGAAAAGAACTGCACCAAAGCTGGCTCTTTTGCTAAAGATTTTATTTTATTTATCTTTTCAATTTATATCCTGCCTTTTTCCTACAGGGCTCAAGGCAGCTTACATCTCCTCCTTCATCTTATCCCCACAACAACAACCCTGTGAGGTAGGTTGGGCTGAGAGTCTGTAAGGTCTAAAATAAGTTGCAGCTGAATTATGTTATCACAAAAAAGTTAGCTTGCATTGTGGGAGGAGCCTATGACTTTGGCTGCATTGACCTTTGAAAATAGAGGAAAATTTAATTATGAGACCCTAATTGGCCGTAACCCTTAGCCTTCAGGCATTGTGGGTGGGTCAGACCTGAGAGGGCCAACGGTGCTGAATCTTGGTTGTCAGCTGGGTGTTTTCTACAGTTCTCAAAAGGGGATTAGAACAGCTCTGCTCAACAATCCAGTCTCCTCTGCCGTGTTCTTTTTGTCTGTGATTAAAGCCAGAGAAAACAGGAACACTGGGAGTCTGCAGTCAAAAGCACATTACAGTTATTCAGAGATACTGGAAAATCCTCCAGCATGTAGGCAGCTCAGAAGGGACTGCAAGGAAATGTGGTGTACAAGAGTTTGGTTTTTTTTAATAGAATAGATTGTGATTAGAAAAAAACAATAGTTTGGGTGTTCTTGGCCTTGCTCTGCAGTGAAACCTGATGCACTTTTCCATTTCTTTCACTGCTGTTCTTCCAAGTCTCTGAATTTCCCTGAATTTCTTGGCTACCATCTCCCTTCGAGTTGATGACTGAGCTGAAGTATGTGAAATCTTTCACAACTTCCAATTTCTTCATTATTAGCATACATATATTAGCATATGAATCCTGGGTGTACATGAGGAATCAGGACTAACTGCATAGTTTTTTGAACAGATCAGCATCCCATCAAAAGAATCTAAAACTGCTTTTGTCAGTTTTAAGCTTTCTGCAGCCACATTATGTCAGAGTTTTGGCTTACTTAGTCCCGACATCTGTTTATGCACTACATGATTCAGCTTTGTGCATCTACAGCTTAATCTTCATCCACTGGTGCACCTTTTGCTTCTGGAGCCATATAAAGGAATTGGCAAGGCGAAGAGGCAGTGGTTTTCCTCCTGCTGGGGTGCCCACCTGAATTGGGGACCCCAAATCTGTGATTTGCCTTGGAAGGAAACTTCCTGCTCTTGTGAACAGTGTGAACCAGTGTGGTGGAGTGGTTAAGAGCGAAAATCTGAGGCTCAGGCAATCCGGGTTCAGGCGTGGAGCCTACTTGGTGACTTTGGGCCAGTCAAAGAATCTCAGCCCAGTCTACCTCACAGGGTTGTTGTTTTGGGGATAAGGTTGACAGCAGCATGAGGAGAGTGTTGTGAGCTGCTTTGAGTTCATTGGAAGAAAAAGTGGGCTATAAATCTATTAAATAATAGATACATACATGAAAATGGAAGGTTGATTTCTTTTGCAAAAGAAACCATGGGGCATCCCAGACTGGATCACAGCTGTTGGTGGTGGAAGGTGGAAATGAAGTGCAGCTATTCCCTTTCCAATGAACAAATCTGTCCTCTTTTCCCAGTGTCCTGAACTTTGGGGTGGGGGTATAAATTGGAAATGTACCAGAAATCTCCCTTTAAATCAGGGGTGTTGAACTCATTGGATCACAGGGGCTGAACTCGATTTCAGAGTAGCTCCAGAGCGCCACGTGCCGGGGAATGCAAAGCGGCCTGGACCAACTGTGCAAAAACTAGGAAAGCTGCGTGCGTTGATGGTGGCAGAAAAGGGGAAGGAGAAGGAGCCACTGAGGGAGCCCTGCAAGGGCGGATTTGACTCCTTGGCCTGCTTTAAGTGGAGGCTGAGGATTTTGGAAGCAAATGAGACCCTGGTGGCCTTCTGTGGCCATCGTCCTGGCATAGCAGTGCAAAAATTTCCTGCCAAAGACGGAAGAGCAAGAAACATTAGAGTAGCAAGAAAGCATTGGTTCAGCCTTCTAGAGCTGGGGATGATGGGTTTGGAGAGAAGGTTGGCCTGAGCTACTGGGAGAGCTCTGAGTCATTTGCAGAGAGTTCAGGCCAATTAGGTATGCAGAAGGAAGTTTATTGAAAGAACCATGAGTGCATTTTTTGTGTGGAAAGACAGTGATTTCTGGTGTTCAAAACCAGTTATTGGGGCTCAGAAATCTTGAATTCTCTGTTCGTGCATCTTTTCGTGCTCGTGTGTGTTTTAAACCAATTCTATACTGGTTTTGGTGGGTAGATAAACAGTGGGCTCTTCATCTAATCCAAAGTGACTTTTCTTCTGTTCTGAAGCCTAACACCTGCCCAAGGCTTGGGCTTACTGCACTGGTGATGAAATGCAGAAAGAGAGGAGAGGAGAGGAGAGGAGAGGAGAGGAGAGGACCATTTGGGCTGCAGGATACATGCTAGGAAAAGGTATGAGCACGCAGGCTGGGGATGATGGGAGTTGTCATCTAGCCCAGGTTTGGGGAAGGCTTCAGTGCACACTCACCTGGATTAAAAGCCCCACTGAACTCTAGAATTGCTATTTGGCTTTGGGTAGGCAGAAACTGACAGAGAAAGTTTTCCTTGGTGGGGGCTAAAGGGGGAACAGGGTGGTAGTTTGGGAGTGCTCCTCGACCCAGAGTTATCCTTTAAGCTCCGGGCGACTGCCTTGGCAAGGAACACTTTCCACCAGCTTCGCCTGGTCCATCAACTACGTCCTAACTTGGATGAGCAGGACCTAACAACAGGTGCTGGTAACCTCTCGATTTGACTACTGTATCATGCTCTATGTGGGGCAGCCCTTGAAGATGGTCCTGATACTTCAGTTGGTCCAGAATAGAGCAGCCAGGCTTTCGATGGGGACCAGTAGGTATGCATATATAACGCTGGTCCTTTACCAACCACCTGGACGAGCTTCCAATTGAAGTTCAGGCCCAATTTAAGGTGTTGATGAAGCCCTAAATGGTTTAGGACCTGGGTATCTGAAGGAGCATCTCCTTCTATATATGCGGTACCTGTCTGCTCCCTAAGATCTGAGTTGGAGGTCCTTCTTTGGGAGCCCTCTTTGATGTTGATCAGGTGAGTGGCTACCCAGAGAAGGGCCTTCTCCGTGGTGGCATCCCAGCTTTGGAACTTGCTGCCCAGACCTGGCACTGATGCTTTTTCCATTTCAGTGCCAGGCCAACCCCTTTTAATTTTTCCCACTATTTTAAGATCCGATGTTGTTTTAAAATGGGTTTAATGATGCTGTACTTTATTCTTGTATTACCATCCTGAGACTCAGGTGAAGGATGCTTTAATGATACTTCTGTGTTAATGTCATGCATTTTATGAGTTTTGTTTTACCTGTGCCTGGAATTGTTGTATTTTAATTGTGCTTCTGGTAGTATTGTATATTGTCCCGTGCAATTATTGATTCAGCAAGGTTTGAAATAAATATTTTGAGAAACTCTCTGACATTTCCTTTAGCGCCCTCCACAATCCGCATGCCTCTTCATGCAACGTATTTCTATCTCGTCAAGTAAACTTATAAAATGGACAGCCGCGTGTGCTTTCCCTTGTACATAACACAAAAGAGCAATTCATTCTCTTTTAAGTACATATTTAGTGCATAAAAGAACAGGTGCTTTAGACAAATATGGCAAGGAAAGTGAATCTGTTTTTAGGTTGTTAGCATAATATAAGGATTCCCAAGCAAAGTGCTGGATCCAGACTGAAGCTGAAGCTGATCAAAGGGGGCTTCTCTTTCCCCTGCTTCACAAGGCAAGGAGACAGGTGGTGGTGGTGTTAGTCGCAAAGTCGTGCCCGACCCATCGGGACCCCACGGACAACATTCCTCCAGGCTCTCCTCTCCTCCATCATCCTGCGGAGTCCACCCAAGCTCACACCCACTGCCCCAGTGACTCCATCCAGCCACCTCATCCTCTGCTGTTCCCTTCCCCTTTTGTCAATTGCTCCCAGCATCAAGGTAGCGAGACAGGAGACTCTGGTAAACGGATTGAACTCTGTGTGTGTGTGTGTGAGGGACCCTCCAATTTCAGGCAGGGGGTCCTTCTGCAACAGATGCTCCCTTCCTCTCCAAGCAGATCCTGGCTCCAACCCAAGCCCCCAAACCGTGTATACCTGAAAAGCAGCAAAACCCAGTTCTTGCTGTTGGAGAAACCACAAAATATATTCAAATGGAGATTGTCCACCATATCGGTCCTGCTTTGCCTCCAGGTTCTCTAATGGACATTTGTATGATTTGCAGGGTTAACTTCATCACGGCAGCTTTTGCTCTAGTCCGAGTACTTAGACTGGGGGTGCGGAACCTCAAGCCTTGAGGAGCATATCTGCCCACCGCCTTCTGCAGCACCTGCTCCCTTCCCCTCTCACTGGGTGGCTTCCCAGCTTTTGTACAGTTGTTTCCCCTTTCTAACAGGCTGAGATACCTCTGCAAAGACTGAGTTAGCAGCAGCGAGAGCTTTGTTGCCTTCAGTCACACCCATCACTGGAGTGTGGCCCCTGAGAGCTTTTCCCAAATGGAATTAGGCCCTCAAGCTACACACGTCCCTGCACCCCTGATTTTGGACCCCAAACTTGTAATTTTTCTCAGCTATGGGACTTCCCCAACAGCTATCAATATAGTAGCTGCACTCCACTCCATGTGTTAAGACAAGCATCAGTGTTATGATTTCTCCCCCACGTGCATTCTTTTATGCGAAGTCAAATGGTCACTCCGGCTGAAGCTCTTTCCACATTCTAAGCATTTATATGGTTTCTCCCCAGTGTGCATTCTCTGATGTATAGTAAGGCGGTAACTCCGACTGAAATTCTTTCCACACTCCAGGCATTTGTATGGTTTCTCACCAGTATGTATTCTCTGATGTGAGGTGAGGTCTGTGCTCTGGCTGAAGCTCTTCCCACACTCAGCACATGAGTAAGGTTTCTCCCCTGTGTGTGTTCTCTGATGTAAAGTAAGATGGTCACTCCGGCTGAAGCTTTTTCCACACTCAGAACACTGGTATGGTTTCTCCCCTGTGTGGGTTCTTTTATGGGCAGTAAGATTGGAGACTTGGATGAAGCTCTTTCCACAGTCCAAACACTTATAGGGTTTCTCTCCAGTGTGGACTCTCTGGTGAGCTTTGAGGCTGGATTTGCAACTAAAGCTTTTCCCACATGCAGGACACTTATTGGATCTCTTTCCCTTCTGTTGCTGTAGGAATTCATGGAGGCTGCCAACCTGGATGGCAACAGACTTATTCCTCCTCTTCTCACTGGCTTCCAAACTCCTTCCCGGCTGTCCGTCTGTCCCACCTGGATCGCCAACGTTCTCCGCCTCTGCCGGTGGAACTCTTCCCGGAGAGCCCTCATCTGGTTCCTCCTCAGCCTCGCAGCTCCATGCAGCTCCTGCTGGAATCAGGACAGAAGCCCCGTAAGAGCCTGTGGGAGCAGCCTCCGACAGGCAGATGTTCCCAGCTAAATCAGGGGTGGGAACCTCCTGTGGTTCGGGGGATGAACTTGTCCCCTGCCCTCCTGTAACCCACCCACAGCGGCACCTCCCCACTGATGGGCTTCCTGCCATGTGACCTCCTTTTTACTTTCGCCACTGCCCTGGTGGCAAACTCAGCAGTGGCAAAAATTCAAAAGGGAACTGCAGAACTGGCTGTACCCTTATCCTGGGATTCCTGTCTGCTGTCGAGGCTTCGTGCCGCTCCCTGTAGGGAAATTGGACAGGCCCGTTTTTAACCTGCCTTTCCACAGAAAGCAGGTGCTTCCCAGGCTACCTATCAGAAGATATTACCCTGGATCACTTGATTATTGCAGCCCACTGTGACTTAAAGACTTGCTTATTGCACAAGAATGCAGAAAGTGACTGACTCAGTCATGCTTGCTGCTGGGTGAAGCCACCCGTTCAGTCAGCACATGAAGCAACACTCCTGCGAATACTGACGGAGCCCTTCAACCCATGCAGAGGCAGCCATGGAAATGTCTGCCTCGATCTGCATGAAGACATTTGGCAGAAATTTGGGCACCACCAGATGGTAGCCAGGATTTCATTCAGGGCCAGCAGCTTAGACTAGGGGTGCATCCATTCTCCCTGATACCAGAAAAGGTTTGGAATGTCTGCTATAAACTATGAGAAAAATTCCCCATGGGAAAACAGTCTGGAATCATAGGAAATTTTTTGTTTTCCTGGGAAATGAAGGGCTGTGGGAATCCGGAGGCGAGAGGAGAACAGTGGGGCCAGTAGGGCAACGAATGTCCAAGCATCCAGGGAACTGGGCACAAAAATGCATCCTCCTCCTTACCTGACACACCGGCCTCCAACTCGTCCGCCTCTTCCTTGGCCTCCCTGCACAGCAGCTTCGCTCCAAGCTCAGATGGGGCGTCGGGGAAGCTCAAAGAGATGCCCCCAAAGTCCACCTGCCGTAGCAGAGAAGAGGCGTTGCAGAGAGGGGTGATGGAGTGGGAAGGGGGTCAGGGTTGGGGGCCCATTAAAGGGGTGGGATTCGCTTCCACACAGTGGTGGGATGGGATGAATTCATGGGCACGAAGCCTGCCAGGAGCTGCTAGTCCTCATGGTCCAAGACTCACAGGCACCACACGTGTGGAGATCAGCTGCCGGGGAACATGGGCCGGGCACTGCTGGGGCACAGGCGCCCCGCCTGTGGGCTTCCCGTTGGGGCAGGGAAGGGCCAGGAGGCTGGGCCTGAGGGCCTCCTGCGGGTGCTTCCCGGATGCAGCAGGCATCTCACTCGCTGCCTGTCCTGAATCTCCCACCTTCCCTCCACGAGGCAGAGAAGAACGTCCCCTGCCGTGCCACGTTCCCCAAACCTCCATCTCGCCCTCCCCTTCCCTCGCCCCTTCCGAGGCAGCACCACCCCGGGTGCCTCGGCCTCCCTTCATGCGGGAGCTACTGGAGCCCTTTCACCCTTCTGGGGCCCTCGGGCTGGCCTTTCCCACCTCCACAGGCTCCTTCTCTGGCTGCGGGGAGTTACAGGGAGCTTCTCTGGGCGACGCTCCTTGTCATCTCATCGCTCTGCTTCAGGGAAATGTTCTGCGGCCAGCCATGCCCACCCCGGCAGCCTTTTTGTGGTTGGGCAAGCCTCCCCCGGCAGCCATTTTGTGACAGTGCCCACGAGACACAAGCAGCATGGCACACGTGCCAAGTGCGCCTGATCCCACCCATCCTGCCCTGCGTGTCCCCATCCCGCTGCAGGGAGACGCCAGATGCACCCCCACGACTGGGTCAGCTCCCCCCTGCAAGAGGGCGGCACAAAGCCCACCTGGCCGGCCAGTCTCGGGGCCCCCCTGGGCCTCCGCAGGAAGTCCTCCGCCAGGGCCACCGCCTGGGCACAAGACTCGGGGCTGCGCTCCCGGACCCAGCTCTGCGTCTCTGGGGGCAGGATGGCCAGGAACTGCTCCAGGACCAGCAGCTCCAGGAT